ATTAATGCATTCAATCAACACATTTTTTTGCAAACAGCATAAATCACATTAACTACGCTGCTCAAAATAATTAAAGGAACACTTTGAAAACATATCAGATCTCAATGGGGAAAAATATCATGCTGGATATCTATACTGAATATGGACTGGGTAGGTAAGGAAAGTAAGGATGCCCCATCATTTGATGGAAATGAAAATTATCAACCTACAGAGGACTGAATTCAAAGGCACTCCGAAAATCAAAGTGAAGAAATGATGCAGCAGGGTAGTCCATTTTGCTGAAATTTCATTACAGCAACTCAAAATTGTACTCAGTAGTTTGAGTTTGTATGGCCCCCATGTGCTTGAATGCATGCCTGAAAACGTTGGGGAATGCTCCTAATGAAATGACGGATGGTGTCCTGGGGTATTTCCTGCCAGATCTGGACCAGGGCATCACTGAGCTCCTGGACAGTCTGAGGTGCAACCTGGTGGCATTGGATGGATCGCAACATGACATCCCAGAGGAGTTCTATTGGATTTAGGACAGTCGAGTGTGGGGGCCATTCAATGGTATCAATTCCTTCATTCTCCAGGAACTGCCTGCATACTATCGCCAACCTTAGGCCAGGCATTGTCGTGCACCAGGAGGAATCCAGGACCCACTGCACCAGCATAGGGTCTGACAATGGGTCCAATGATTTCATCCTGACACCTAATGGCAGTCAGGGTGCCATTGTCTAGCCTGTAGAGGTATGTGTGTCCCTTCATGGATATGCCTCCCTAGACCATCACGGACCCACCACCAAAATGGTCATGCTGAATGATGTTACAGGCATCATAATGTTCTCCATGGCTTTTCCAGACCCTCTCACGTCTGTCACATGTGCTCAGGGTGAACTGGCTCTCATCTGTGAAAAGCACAGGGTGCTAGTGTTGGACCTGTCAAATCTGGTGTTCAATGGCAATCAAGCTCTATGGTGCCATGCAGTGAGCACATGGCCCACTAGAGGACGTCAGGCCCTAAGGCCACCCTCATGAAGTCTGTTTCTGATTGTTTGGTCAGACACATTCACACCAGTGGCCTGCTGGAGGTCATTTTGTAGGGCTCTGGCAGTGCTCATCCTGTTCCTCGCACAAAGGAGCAGATACCGGTCCTGCTGATGGGTTAAGGACCTTCTACAGCCCTGTCCAGCTCTCCTAGAGTAACTTTGTGTCTCCTGGAATCTCCTCCATGCTCTTGAGACTGTGCTGGGAGACTCAGCAAACCTTCTGGCAATGGCACGTATTGATGTGCCATCCTGGAGGAGTTGGATTTCCTGTGCAATCTCTGTAGGGTCCAGGTATCGCCTCATGCTACCAGTAGTAACACTGACCCTAGACAAATGCAAAACTAGTAAAAAACAGCCAGAAACGATGAGCAGGGAAAAAAATGTAAATGGACTCCACCTGTAAAACCATTCCGTTTTTGGGGGTCGTCTCATTGTAGCCCATCTAGTGCACCTGTTTATTAATTTTATTAACACCAAAGCAGCTGAAACTGAATAACACCCCCCTCTGCTACTTAACATAAAGTGTTCCTTTAATTTTTTTGAGCAGTGTATATTGAAGGGTGATCTAGATATATATGTGATTTAACAAAAACAATTAATTAACTTACAAACGTATGTGTATCAAAGGAGGCTAAAATGGCTGCAGTGGTTTATAGGAAATCTTTATTAACAAACCACTCCCTATTCTGGTTATAAAGGAATAATAAAAACGTGCAATTGCAGTGAACACCTACTCAACACAATAATGATATACAGAACAAGGTGCTAAATCACTATATAGCTTATATGTATTTAAGTGGTGGCATAGCAATAAAATGGCAGCAACTCTAACATTTCTTGTCTCACCATGGTGTGGTGTGTGTGCTGGGTTGTGAAATTATGCTATGACATCATTGCCTCACCATCCCTCCTTCTGCACAAAGTTTCTGATTGACACAAGACATACAAGGTGTGTGTCTAGTAAAGGAAAACTCCTCCCAGGTTCGCATAACTATATTATGTTAACAGGATTATCTGACCTGTAGAAGAAAATGTTCTAGTACTTCCAGGTTTGTAACACATTCACTTGGGTTCCCCTGTTGAGTTATGCCTTTATACTAAAGCTTAACTTTCACTTGAAGCTGAGCATGCGCACAAACTGTATCTGCACTATATGCCTTATTTAAAAATATACAAGATACAGGCATTTCCTAAACCTCTTACATGGGATAATACCCAATTTTCTCTGTGTCTGTGTGGGTTTCCTCGGGGTACTCCTGTTTTTCCCATACCCCAAAGACATGCTGGTAAGTTAATTGGCTGCTGTCGAAATTGGCCCTAGTATGTGTATATATGAATGTGAGTTAGGGACTCTAGATTGTTCTCTCCTTTGAAGGCAGGAGCTGATGTGTAATAAATATTGAGAGTGCTGTGTAAAATTGACAGTGCTATATAATTACCTGGTATAAATAAAATAAATAATGTTCAAAGGATTGCAAATGAGAATTCCACATAATCCCCCTTAGTCCTATACCCTGTAGTGGCCCAATTGGTTGTTATGATGGCAGTTCTCCATTGTTTCAATTAAGATAAGGAAACATCTGTGATATGACAAAGTCCAGATCTGACGTCCTTCTATTCTTTCGAATCATATATCAGAATGAAATGAACATTGTGATGATTCATTTTTGTTTATTATCTTTGTTGTCATGTGATTATGCAGAGTATTTAAAGCACATGAAAATAAATGTTGTAGTCTGGTACTGATGTACAGATATTTATGGAAATATACCTTTTACCATTACCATTTACCTGCCAAAATAGTTTTTCTGCACCAAAATCTTCATTCTATCACTTAATCGCCCACATTGCTATTTTTAAAAGCCTGTATAAAGGAAAAGTAATATTGGTAAAAATATTTTTGGGTTTAACCAATCATTTTTGACAAAGTTTAATCTGGCACTAAATTCAATGAGGTTGGGGTTTGGCAGAGGAAACAGGAGGCCATTGGAGCCCAGGTGCTGAACAGTACAGGAGAACACGAGGCATGAGAGCCTCTCTGCAGGAGAGGCAGGAAGCATGGGAGCCCAGGAGCAATGCAGTGCAAGAGAGGCAGCAGGAATACAAGCCTAGGTGCTGCTAAGTGCCGGAGAAGTAGGAGGCACGAAAACCCAAGTGCTGCACAGCATTGTTAGGAAAATTCAGTTCTTTTTGTCTCCTCTGTAGTTAGTAGAGCAGTTTGATTATTTCCCCCTTTATTCTAGAGTATTCTAGAATCATCGTGAGTGGAGAGTCAAATAAGCAATCTGAATCCCTGTGGATCTGAGGCCTGGAGCAGCCTTGTTGAAAGCCCTCAGCCTAAGGCTGGCCATACACTATACAATTATCTGGAGATTTTTGGTTGAGATTTACCAAAAACCATATAATAGGAGGACAAACCTAAACAACACTTTCAGATGTATCCAATTAGGCAGGCCCTTGCACTACACAGTTGAAGGTAAATCTAAAGGAAATTGGGCTGAAAATTGGAAGATAATTGTATAATGTATGGCCAGCCTAAGTCCTGGGTCTAGGCCTGCAGCAAGAGTCCCCAGCCTGAGGGGTTTCTCCCTCTGTGCAAATTGCTGGAGTCTGCTGCATGTTAATCAAGGTCCCAGCTATGGCATAGCTGGGGGGGCCTATTTCTAAAATCCTTCTCTGGAAGTAATCAAGGGATTTCACCTAAGGACACGGTCTGGGGAACGCATTAAAGTGTGCCCTGTGGAAGTGGGAAAGAGTCTAGCTGTCCTGTGGCATTGTGAGCATTAACCTCTCCCTTACTGAAGAATGTCTGGTGGATACTGGAAGGAGGCATCCAGTGATCCTTTGTCACTGTGAGTACTGACCTGAGCTCATGGTCCTAGCGACTGTGTGCTGTTCCCATTTGGGTGGAAGTGCCAGTGGTAGTTCCAACTGAGATAGCTTTTACAAGGACTCTTCCCTTGTTCCTGCATAAAGACTGTTCAGAAAGGCTTAGCAAAGTGAAATGTCCTCCTGCTAATATTCATTATATCTTTAGTATCCGATATCACCCTCTCCAAGATCTTCAGAAATAAAATGATAAAAAAAAGACATCCCCTAAACTGAATAATGAGCCAGAGTGAAGGAATTGCTGCCTGGCTGCATCTGCACTAATTTTGGGAAAGAACTAGTTAAATGACAGCAGCTCCTACAGAGGTAGTGCTACATATTATTTAGTACACGGATTTCAAATGCCTTTATTTACATTTCAGTTTGTCAAGAATAGTCAACAGGGGCAGCCACTGGAACACACAATAACACTGTCTAGGTTTTGTTAGTGTAACTATGGGCAAAAGAAAAAATGACGTGATGCAGTCTGTCAACAGCATTAATACAGCAATTTTTGCTTTTGTGGGTCCCCATAAAACATACTTTTATTATCTGCTAATCCTGCCAGTAGCTCTGTTAATTTTCAGCTTCCTTTAACAGTGTAGCGCTACCCCCTTAAGGGCCACTGAGTATTTTTGGGCTCCCTGTTTGTCCTGAGCCTACTTTGGAAGCTCAACCCCTGGCTTGGAACCATAAAATAAACACACACAGCCTAGTATTCTGGTTATATTGAGGTCAGAATAATAAGAATGCAAGCACAACAAAAGATACCAGTAGACAAGCATGCAATATGCGTTAAATGCTCTAAAAGGTTCAACAAAACATTGTGACACAGTATCATTATAAGCAACTCCAGCAGGATCAGAATTTAACATCAATCCCAGCCTTTGAGATATCTCTACCCAAGTGATCTGGGAGGCACAATCAAACTGTCAGACTAACTCACTTTTGGGCTCTCAGTTGCTGGTGACTGGGTTTAACTCTGGAGATGAATTCTTTGGTGAAAAGTAGCAATGTCCCTTTTTGGTAGCTCTCTTTAGCAAACGTGTCCAATCTTCTGCGCGCTTGGTGGGGCCCTAGTTGATCTACATTAAACTGTTACTAAACTCACAACAGTAAAATCAGTCTGTATATGCAGTAAAGCATACTTGTTATACTCACTGTGGAACCTAAGGCGTTAATCCTCTGCATTGTGTAAAAACACTGTTTGATCCTCTCTTCTCTGATCCTCCCCTTCTTCCAGTGTCCCCCTCTTATCTCCTGAAAAAACATATTATCTGGAGTCACTCTGCACATGCTCAATTTGGTGTGTATTGTTAAATAGTTTTTTTTTTTCTTGGGAGAGTGCATGTGATAAGCACAGGGCCAATCAGCATTGTCCAGACAGAGGTCAGGGGTCCTCTTCCTAAAGCAGAATGAAAATTCCTCCTACAAGCTTTAACTTGCTGGACACTAATGGAAGTCACAAGACTGCTCTAACTGCTGATGAGAAACGTTAGTTGGCAGTTTATATTTACTAAAATAATTGCACATCCATGTTCTGTGTACTGTGGGAGACCAGATATAGTGAATGCATGGTCCGGGGTTTAGTAACAGATTTTCCTGGTGTGAAAGAAAGTTCTCCTCAAGATGGTGTAGTGTCAGAAAAGGAAAACTGCCTTGAAGTGATGCTGAATTTAAATGAAATTTATTTAAAAAGGTGAAGGTAAAGATTTACTAAGATTGTAAAAATGGCGGCAGCAGACTTTAGTAGAGGCGGACTCTTCCTCAAAGGTGGTGAGCTGGTCTGATGAAGCATGTTCCTTGGGCATTAGAAGTGACAAATAGTGACACTAATTTGATTTTGTATTCAGGGTGCATATACTGTAGCAAAGTCCTGAGGCTTAGGATGCTATTAAAGCACTAATCAGTAGGCTGCAAAAAGCTGGATAGCCTGGGCCTCAGTGTGATAAGATGTGATGTAAGGTGTAATGAACTGAAATAAACAATTGAACAGTCACTTGCAAATTGTGATAATCTGGGTATGGAACCCTTTCACCCGATCTGTAGCCTTGGTAGTGTAGCAGGTAGTCTCTCAGTAAAAGGACCCCCGTATTCTCTTGGTCCATCTGCTACACCCCGGTCACATCGGGTGTGACTTGGCATGTGATTTGCATGCCATGCGACTTGCAAATCGTATGCCAAGTCACACCCTATTGTCCACAATTAGAGCGGTCAAATCGGTGCGGTTCTGACATGGTCGGAGCTGCACTGTTTTCTACAGTAGTACATGTACTACTTTTGGTGCGATTTGCATTGACATCTGTGTCAGATGTCTTGCAAATCGCACCTGAAATCAGCAGGTCACCTGACTTTGAAATCGTGCGACTTCACTGTAAGTCGCACGATTTCAAAGTCGGGCTTGATGTGACCGAGGTGTTAAGGAACGATGCCAATGGTGATAGCATGATCCACCTGCCTGCAGTATTGTCTGTCCTACTTGTCAGTGATACCAGCAGTCTGCGATCCCGCTTCACTTCTCCGCTCTGCGGCCTGGCCCTGCTTGGATGTCAAGCGTCCAGCACATCCTTCTCCACACACCCTTTCTATGTGTCCCACCATCCACTTCCTTGCAGTAAGGTTCCTGGGCTTCAGAATATATATGCTCCTGTCCCTTTGCCAGCTCCTCTAGGAAATGTAGTTTTTGCACAAAGATCCTGCTACAGCATAAAGGTTCAGCAAGGCTTTTCTGCAAGGCTGAACTGCGGAACACTGCCATCTTGTGCTCACTTAACACCCTGCAACCAGTATTAATACAGGGTGCTACAACAGGATGACAAAACAGTTCTTAAAGAAAATCACTGAAGTTTTGTTTTTCTTGTAAAATGAGCCACTGTAACTGAAATGTGCAGGTTATTGAAGCATTGCCATAATGAACATTCTTGCAATAAGTTCCCTTTTTCTGCCACAAGATGGATCTTTGTGGACTCTGATTCATCTTTATTTAGAGCACTACATTATAGAAAATGTAGTCTCAACCAGCAGAAACTCCACTATCACCACAGACACAGAAAACATCAAAATCCAGCATGCCTGCACTCTGTAGACAGAATAGTCTTCTTAAGGTGGCCTTGCACTATTATTATTTTTTTTTTTCCATTCAGCCAGCTGTCTGAATAAAAAAATGAACACATTCCTCCATCCACACAAACGAGGTGGATGGAGGAATCCTCCTACTTGGATTTTGTACTCTAACAGATCGTCAGCTGAAGCCAATTGGCTGCAGCCACTGATTGAGGAAAGTTTTCCAAAATGTCTTGTAGCCCTGGTTCACACCCCCATGAAAGAAAAATATATTTGAAATATATTTTTCCCAAATATATTGACATGTATTTGAAAAATGCTACAATGTTGGCCATATTCAATATATTTAAAAATATATTTATATATATATATATATATATATATATATATCACACTGCATGTTGAAATGGGTTTGTATTACAAAATATATGAATAATGTTTTTAAAAATACATTTCAAATATACTGTTTGTCTTTAAAGATTCAAATCTACATTTTTGGAATGCATGTACAAATATATGTTAAAATGACTTTTTTTATATGTTAAAAAAAATCTGAAGAATATATTTTAAACAAAAAGATATTTTTTAAATATATTCTTCAGATTTTTTTAACATATAAAAAAGTCATTTTAACATACATTTTACATATATTTGTAAATGCATTCCAAAAATTAAATTTAAATTTGTATTTTTAAAGACATACAGTATATTTGAAATGTATTTTTAAAAATATTTTTCATATATTTTGTAATAAAAACGCATTTCCACATGCAGTGTATATATATATATATATATTGAATATTATTATTACTATTATTATTATACAGTATTTATAAAGCGCCAATAGTTCGCTCAGCGCTGTACATTACAAAGGGGGACAGAACATGTGACAGAACAATACCAATACAATGCAAAACATGAGGATGGCCAATATTGTAGCATTTCAAATATTGATCATTTATTATGTTTAAATATGTAGGTGTGTATTTTGGGTTGTGGGCCTCTGCACTGTTCTTTCATGTGTAGAAAAGGTTATGTCCTTAGAAAACACAAGTATAGGCTATGAGCCATGTGTTTATAGTGCCCAGACACATTGGAATGCAACAATATTTAAAGCTGAACTCTGGTTTGGAACAGAAAATGCTCTTTATGTCTAGAGGTGCTGGAATAAGGAGGTAAGGGTAATACTTACCTTCTTTTGCATTCCAGCAGGCTTCTTCTATCTGTGTGACCGTGTCGCTTCAGCCTCTGCTGTAACTTCTCACAGCTGAAGCTGCATGTTCCCTCCACATACAATGCAGGGTTAATAGCCTTTTATTGTGCATGTTGATGCCCACATCCCAAAAGTGTGAGGAGTATGCTGGAACGGGAAATAGGGTAAGTAATACAATCCCTGCCCTCTCGATATATTGAGACCCCATTGCAAAGGTATTTTTTGTTCCAGCACAAAGGTCAGCTAAGTTAATAGAAACCAGTGTGGTATGTATACAATAAAAAACCCTTATCTTACTTTTAGGGAGGCTTCATGCTGTCCCAGTGTGGTCCCACTACACTCTGGGTAAAGTGCAGATAACCTACAGGCTTTGTGCAGATTAGCTGCACTTTCCCGTAAACTTTTATGATGTTCCGCAGTTTTGGTGCAGTTTCAGAAAGTGCACTGAAGATACAGCATTCGGGAGTTTTGGTGCTCTTTCTGAAAGCACACCAAAACCGCAAGACCTCATAGAAGTCTATGGGAAAGCGCAGCTAAGCCTAACCCACATAAAACCACAGGTTAGTGGGTGCTTTAGCAAAAACTCAGTGGGGCAGTGTGAAGCCTTCCTAATATTGATGACTTATTTTAGGCCTTAGTAATAAAATATTTCAGGAAAAAAGTCAAATATTTAAAAAAAAAAAAAATCAGTCATGATTGGGTTTAGGTTGTAGTTTGAATATTCAGTCTTTAAAGCAGAACTACAGGTTCCAGTCTCTGCCAAAAAAACCCACCCACCCCTTCCTAAGCCCCCCCCAAATCACCCTATGCATATTTTTTTTCTTACTGCAGTTTTTAGCTGGTCTGGTGACATCATGGGTCCATCTTCTTCCACTGTGGCCACTGGGAGAAAATCCTTCCTTCTGGATGATGTGAGGACTACTCAGTCTGGGAGTACTATGGGTTTAGGCCGTATGGTGATGCACTCTCAAGGACTGGGCTCAAAGCAAATAGGTAGAATGACACTTTCAACCCAAAACAGAACCTGCAATGATGGTTTGTGAAGAAGCTGGGGACAACAACACTGGAGTGCTGGCAGGGTGAGTAGTTGAAACCAGCTAGTGAAAAATAAGGAATATCAAGGTTCCACTTTAATTAGAAATCCAACTAGGTGTCATGTAGAGGTCAGGAAGGGCTGATGCTTCTTCCCATGAGGTGCTGTAAAATACTGGAATGTGTATATGATGAACGCATTTAGGGAAAGGGGGCGGGGGCCGGGGGGCAGTGTCTGTTGACTTAATTGGCGGCCTCCATATTGTGATTGGTAAACAGGAAGTGGCATAGCCAGCTGATATCAGCGAATGTAGTAGTGGTGTCCTGCTGCTAACGGGTGGCATCTTGGGTATTTAAGCCCCAGCCATATAGACCTCATTCTATGTGTGGGGATGGGGTCTGGAGGAGGCACAAATGAGGTAAATGGATAGATCATTGTTTTATGTGGGTGATTAGGAGACGTTACTCTTTATCTGATACAGTATATATGTTATCTTACTCATTAAGGCATCGGCAGCCGATTATTTTATATAGGATCTGGTGAATATGTGTTACCCAACTTACGAATACTAGGACGAACAGACTGAATCAACACTGGTGCGCTGGACTCAATACTTATGCTGTACGTATGTTATGTAATACTCTTGACTATATACAGGTATGTAGGTTTTATGCATGCAAAGTTATGCCTATTATATGGTGCTTTTTAACGCAGTCAGTGAGAATTTTTATATAAATTGCTTTATAGTGTATTGGATATTTGGAGGAGCCAAGTTTCTTGTCTGAACATGCTGACATTAACAGGTAATGTATTGAAGCTCATACTATCTTGTTGTTATATAGATGTCGAATTTTGGGTCCATGGCTGTCATACACACTCACCTGCCACTTTATTAGGTACATCTGTTCAATTGCTTGGTAACACAAATTGCTAATCAGCCAATCACATGGCAGCAATGCATTTAGGCATCTAGAAGTGGTGAAGACAACTTGCTGAAGTTCAAACCATACATCGGAATGGGGAAGGAAGGGGATTTAGTTGACTTTGAACATGCCATGGTTGTTGGTGTTAGACAAGCTGGTCTGAGCATTTAAAAACTGCTCATCTACTGGGATTTCCACAGACAACCATCTCTAGGGTTTACATAGAATGGTCCGTAAAAGAGAAAAAAAATCCAGTGAGCAGCAGTTGGGTGGATGAAAATGTCTTGTTGATTTCAGAGGTCAGAGGAGAATGGGCAGACTGGTTCCTGATGATAGAAAG